CCTAGGTTATATCATTTTTGTGTATATTTGGTTCTGGGTTCAATATTTATAAATGTTACATCTTAGCCACTGATTTAATATTTCATGTATGTTTCTTTGATATTCGAATCTGGCCATCCCATTTTTAAATATTTTATTTTAGTCCTATTAATGTATGTTATGTCATTTTTGTGAATATTTGACTTTTAGACATTATGTTTGTAATAGTTTCATTCTAGTCCTAAGTTCTTGTGTTGTGATATTTTGTGGATGTTTGAATTCAGCCATCATACTTGCAAATGTTCTATTTTGGTCACTGTCTGACATTTTATTTAATTACTTTTTGATCCTCCATGATTCTGTGAAATTTCAATTTAGTCATAAGCTTTACTTTTGGGTTATTTTCACTTCTAGTATTTGACTGTTTAATGTTTGTGATATGGGCTCTAAATTATTTTTATTTTTATATTTAGTCCTTTAAATTTCGGTTAGTGCTATTTTTGGTCCATTAACTTTCTGTTTTTTGCTGTTTAGCCTCCTAAGTTTCTGTTTATATTATTTTAGCCTCTTAAATGTTTTATATTTATTTTGGTTTGTAATATTTACTAATTTATTTTTAGACATCTATGTATGGATGTGTATTTTACTCATTACTTAATTATTTGGATTATGTAAATAATGTTTTCAATTTCATTTAATGTAAATATTTTATTTTGTATTTCCAATTACATTTATTTTCATTATATCTTTATCTATGTAAGAAATATTCGATTATATTTTCAAGAACACGTATGCGTAGAATGGGCGTAGAAAGTACCACTTGGTCGAAGTGGTACGATCCGATACGGCATTTTAACGACATAGGAACTTGCAACAAGTCGAGTATATTTTACTAATTAATTTATCCAAACGATGCAATGTGTGTTATTTTAAATGACAATTTACTTTATTTTATGTGAATGTAAATTTCAAAATTTTTAATTTGTATTCAATTCACGTTTTCAGTTAATCAATTTATTCGTATGTAAACATTGTTTTTAGTTATATTCGATTTGTATTTTTAACATAATCAATGGTAGAATATTCTTTTACGAATGAGAAATGGTTGAAATAGCTTTCCCGACAGAGGATTGCAAATTTCAAGATTTCTGATTGAGTTAAAGGATTTTCTTTAAATAATTCGAGGCAAATTAAATAAATCTCAAAAATGGATCATAGGTTAATTTTATATTCGATTTATCATTTCCATCATTTACGACAATGTGTACGCGACACAGTACCATTTTTGGGCGCTGTGGGGGTGCTTACCCTTCCCCACACGTAACCGACTCCCGAACCCGTTAAATTTGATTTCTGGTAAATGTAGACCATTTTTGTCTTAAAAAATGATTTTTCTTAAATTTCTTTTAAAAAGACGTTTTTAGGTATTCGACCTACCTAACCCAAAGGTCTATGGCGACTCTATTCAATTTAATCCAAATTAATCCAAAATACTCAATTTTTCAAAATAAAAGTCATAATCGTTTTAAAAATAATATTTAATTATTTTACAAAAAAATGGTTATGACAATATGGTCATGTCATGGCTCATCAATTCCATGATAAATGAAATCGGAGAGAACTTCCTACTCTACAAAACAGCAAGGGAAATATGGGAGGCTGCAAAGGAGACGTATTCCAACAATGAGAATACATCTGAGTTGTTTGAAGTGGAGAGTGTTCTCCATGACTTTCGTCAAGGAGATTTAACAGTAACCCAGTACTTCAATACACTCAACCGCTATTGGCAACAGCTGGACTTGTTCGAGGAGCACAATTGGAGCTGCCTAGATGATGGAATCAGGTATAGACAGATCATTGAACGGAAGAGAATATATAAGTTTCTGATTGGATTAAATAAAAATCTAGATGAAGTAAGAGGAAGAATATTGGGATCTAAACCTCTACTTAATATCCGAGAGGCTTTTTCTGAAGTCCGGAGAGAGGAGAGTCGAAAGAAAATCATGATGGGCTCTCAAGAACCAATGACAAGTCTTGAGAGCTCATCCCTTACTGTTAGAGGGAACTCCTACAACACCAATGACACTAAACCAAAGAAAGGATGCCCTTGGTGTGATCACTGCCGCCGACCTGGTCACACCAGGGACACTTGCTGGAAAATTCATGGTAAGCCTACAGATTGGAAGTCTTCCCGGTATGCCAACGACAAAGAGGGGCGAGGCAATTTTGTCTTAATGGATGACAAACCTTCACCTGAACCTACTCTATTCAGCAAGGAACAATTAGAGGTTCTACAGAAGCTGTTCAACCAGTCTTTGCCTGCCTAAACCTCCACTGTGGTTGGAACTGGGTCCTTAGCCCAAAAAAGTAATTTTTTAAGCGCTCTCAATGTTAAAAAAGAGAAGTCAAATCCATGGATTATAGATTCTGGAGCTTCAGACCATATGACTGGAAATGAGGACCTATTTTCTACTTACAGTCCATGTGATAAACACTTAACAGTCAGAATAGCCGATGGTTCACTCTCAAAAGTGGTTGGTACAGGTTCTATTAAAGTATCAGAGAATATTACACTTGAATCAGTCCTTCTTGTGCCAAATTTGAATTGCAATTTACTGTCCATTAGTAAACTTACTCGAGACCTGAATTGTATGACTAAATTTGGTTCAACCATGCGTGAATTTCAGGTCTTGGACTCGGGGAAGACGATTGGCAGTGCTAAAATGTGCTCGGGACTCTATCTTCTCGAGGTTACAAATCCTCCTCAAGGCACAACTTATCAGTCCGATTGTCTAGTGTCTGGTAATCCTACTTTTTCTGTCAGTTATTCTAATAATGATAGTGTAATCATGTTATGGCACTATAGATTAGGACATCCGAATTTATTGTATCTTGAGAAACTGTTTCCTTCTCTATTTCATAATAAAAATCCAAATGAGTTCAAGTGTGAAATTTGTCAATTCTCTAAACATGTCCGTAATTCTTATCTCAACCAATCTTACAAAGAATCCCATCCTTTTTCAATGATTCACAGTGATGTTTGGGGGCTATCTAAAATAAAAAATGTGACTGGTTCCCGTTGGTTCATTACATTTATTGATGATCACACTCGACTTACATGGGTCTTTCTCATGAAAGAAAAATCAGAAGCATGTCAGATTTTCAAAAACTTCAACACCATGATACAAACTCAATTCCAAGCCAAAATCCAAATTCTGAAAACTGACAATGCCAAAGAATACTTCAAATTCATACTCAATGATTATCTCTTGAGTCATGGCATCATTCATCAAAGCTCATGTGTCAATACCCCTCAGCAAAATGGAATTGATGAAAGGAAAAATCGGCACCTTCTAGATGTTGCAAGATCTCTTATGTTTTCTACTCATGTACCGAAACATTTATGGGGTGAAGCTATTCTCACTGCGGCATACCTCATAAACCTGATGCCATCTAGGATTCTCAACTTTCAAAGTCCTTGTCAAACCTTACTTCAGTTTTTCCCAAATACATGTCTCATCTCCACTATTCCCTTCAAGGTTTTCGGGTTTTCAGCTCTGTTCATGTCCATCAACATAAAAGGGATAAACTTGATCCTAAAGCACTTAAGTGTATCTTCCTTGGGTACTCTCCAACTCAAAAGGGGTATAAGTGCTACTCATCGGACACTAAACAGTAGTACCACTCCATGGATGTTACCTTTTTTGAGCACCAGCCCTATTACCCCAAATCTGATATTCAAGGGAGACCAATTTTACCCAGGAATATCAAATTTGGGATATTGATGAATCAGTTCAGCTCTCTCTAAATCCTGACCAATCTCACCTATCACCAAATTCTAAACATCTCTCCCTAGATTATTCCTACCAAAATCTGGACACTAGTAAATCAACAACTAATAATGAGTTGATTACCTATTCACGGAGGAGGAAGAACCAAAAGGAGATGGAATCACCAGCACCTCTACAGCAAAACCAAGAATCTGATCCTAGTCCAAGATCTTGTGAAGATCCTTCAGGTAATCCTAATCCTGAATCCTCACAGAGTGAACTAACTGGTGATGACAGTGACTATCCTATTGCCGTGAGGAAGGGGGTTAGAACTTGCACAAAACATCCTATATATACCTTTATATCATATGAAGGCCTGTCACCAAAATTCAAGTCGTTTGTTGCCAACCTCGACATCACTCAGGTCCCAAATAACATACAAGAAGCTCTTAGATCTCCCGAATGGAAAGCTAATGTGCATGAAGAAATAAATGCACTTGAAAAGAATGGCACCTGGGAAATATCAGAATTACCATCGGGAAAAAGGGCAATAGGATGCAAATGGATATTCTAAATCAAGTACAATGAAGATGGAAGTGTTAATCGTTTCAAGGCATGGCTAGTGGCAAAGGGATTCACTCAATCGTATGGAATCGACTATGAGGAAACATTTGCCCCAGTAGCCAAGTTAAACACAGTTCGGGTTCTCCTATCTCTAGCTGCAAATCTTGATTGGCCCCTTCACCAACTAGATGTCAAGAATGCCTTTCTAAATGGGGACTTAGCTGAGGAAGTTTACATGGAAATCCCATATCTGTATATATTTATTTCTTGTTTATTTTTTTCCGTTTTAGATAGATTTGACCCTATTCTAGGTAAGTTGTATATATCCCTAGAAATTAGGTGTTTCAGCATCTATATATAGGGAACGTGTAACCTGTTTTAATATATTGAAAATAATAAAGAATTCCTCTACTTTCAACATATATGTATCTAATTTCACTCTTGAATCAAAAGATAATCGTGCATATAATTAGAAGTGATATGTTGGAATAAGATGAATGTCATTTCGTTTTCAATCTCGATCAATGCAGAAAGATTGAAACACAAGGGACCAACTTGATTAAAGGATGTCAAATTGAAAGTTAATTACTTTGGACAAAGAAACTAACTTCACATAGTAATTAACAGTTTGATGTTTCTTCTAAGATTTTTTTTAATCATCTTGAATTTGAACTTTTGATGGAACAGGCAAGAGCATATGCCAAGGCAATGAATGCAACCCTTTTCTTCTCAAGTGCTACTCATAATATAAATGTCAACAAGATCTTCAAATTCATCATGGCGAAACTCGTTAACTTGCCATGCACGATTGAGAGAAACTTAAACATTGGGGAGCCGATTATTGACTTCTAGAAGCCTGGGTTATTTGGACTCGGATGTGAGTGTAGATATTAGACACAATTACTAAAAAGATGAAAAGTGGGGTCGAGATAGCCGGTTTCTTTTTCCAGTGATATTTAGAAAACAAGAACAAGGGATAGAAAAGTCTGTTCAATCATAGCAGTAAATTGACCCCACAATCACTAGACTTGGTCTTTGATTGTTAGGTTCTTTCTGTTTTCATTGCTTTACTTTTCCCAGTTTTCTCATTGTAACAGTTCACACGCTGACTTCAAAATTGGATGATATTCGATGCTTCAAACATGGAACATTATTATTAGTTTCAAATGAGTACAAGCACTGGCCAATTCGGAGTCTCTTGGAAACACAGTTAAAAATGAATTTCAATGCTCCTTGGATATATTTGGATACCAATAATCTTAAATTTCATTTTCAATAGAAGGCCTTGACAAAAGATCATGTACCATGAAAAGAAATACAAACAACAATGGCTACTTTGAAAAGAACATTGGCATACACGAGTTTGAACTAGATTCGACCAAACCATCTAGTTCTACAAGAAATCTCTTCATTTTCATATGCGGAAAAACCGAATACATCGATGTCGTTCTTTGTGTCTTGTGATAAGGATGGTAACAAATATAATCTCGCCTCTAGGATATGCTGAGGAGACAGACTTGCATCATAGTGGTGGTTGTCTAATTGTACGTGTATGTCTCACTGGTTGCAGTTCTCGTGCAGTAGAACATACTCTCGGCTGCAAAAACCAAAACAAATTATTTAAAAGGCTACCAATAGCAATGCACAACAACAAAGATTTTCAAGTATACACAATTTCCCAACTAAGCCAGTGGCGAGTATTCAGCGACCAAATCAAGATGACAATCAAATTATTTCATCATAACCAAAAAGATTAGAACTAATTTCTCCTATGGACATGATGGGAGGCTTTTTCAGCATAGACTTTGTTAAGATTAGAGCAGTAGCTAAAGCAACATCGATGAATTGATAACTTCCTCGCAGATAAACATAACGATGACAAAACATCAATAGCAGCAACAAAATGCAGTGTGACTACTGTAGAATGACCAAAACAGGAAAGCCTTTTATCAACCAATATCATAGTAGCTTTGTGGAACTGTTACTAAATCCTCTCCACATGTATGCATGCGTACTGTCTTCTACGTGTTGTTCTATATTACTTTCACTCCTATTATGCAAATAAAAAGTAACCACATAATACTGTCGAGTGCCCTACCTACTGTTACCAAATTTAATGGTGTCTTTCTCAAAAAGTTCATAATAACGTTGGGGTTTGATTGGATTGTCCTGCAAATGCAAAAAGAAAGTTTAGATGAATGATAGGAATCCAATCAATTTTCGATGCAATTAATAAAGATTTTTAGATGAACTGCTCACATTAATGAAAGTTTTATTGGTGCTTCCAAGGTCCATTATATAAGGCCTACGAGGCAAAAGCAAAATAAAATATGACAAGAATTCATCACAATTAATCATAGCAACAGAAGTTAAATTCTAAATCAGCATAACCGTACCTTACTTGCTTGAGAGATGTACCTTCAGGTTGATCTTTCTCTACTTGCCTGATAAAGAAGAAACGTTTAGTTAAACAATGTACAGAACAAATGCCGAGAGTAGAATTGCTAAGAGTAAATATACCGGAATTGAATGACAGCATGCTGCTTGCTGCAGGATGGATGGTCTGTGGGTACATCTGCTACTCGCCTTTCCCTCCCAAAAAGGTAGCAGCTTTGGCGATGTATATAAAGGGGCTCTGCTAACAAGATGAATTAGAAAACGATCCAAAATCAGGGGGGATAAGTTCCATGCTTTCTTGAATGGTCGTCAACTTTTTAACCTAAACGAATTGCAAATATAATGAGAATAAATTCTAATCTCCAGGTTCTAATGAAAAAGCAACATAAAAAATAGATCCCTTAACATGTAAAAGTTTTTCTCGACTTCTACAATGATGTGTGATCTTAACATGTAGACGAAATTTAAAACCAAAAGGTCCAGCTCTGAAGTACGGCTCACGTCCATCACATAGATGGAGTTAAGATAATAAATGAAACTCATTAATTTTGTATCAATTCTACATAGTTCTGATGATTACTAGACAAATATTTTTCGAAGGTAAAAGCTTGAAAAAACTCAGTGTGATAAGAAAGGCGAAACTGGAGAATAAAAAAAATCATAGTAAGAGAACACATGAAAAAGGAAGGAAACTCTCTTGGACTGACCATTGAGTACTTCGCCAGCTTTGAAAACATAGAGGCGCCATCTTATATCAGGTTTTCGAGCATCAGGGGGTTCATTGAATAGCAGAGTCACACCTCTAACTCTGTTGGTTTCTGCTGAAAGCTTTCCTGATAGCTCAAATGTAGGTCTTTGCTGCAAGTTACAAAAAAGAGTAAAGAAGGGATAAATTAAACACCAAAAATAAGAGTGGTGCTATCATGCAGTATAAATACGATAGAACCACAGGGTACCTAACTAATTAAGGAACAATTCGTCACAAAGTTATAAAACATGACAAATAAAAGAAAGCTAGCAGCCAAGTAATTTGTTACCTTTTGTTTTGCTTCCAAGGCTTCCTCCGCTGCCTTCATCTTAGCGACAGAATCATCTTCGTCATCCCTGCTTACGAACACAATGAAATCTATTGTTACTATTTTAGAACTTAAAAGAATGAAGCAAAAAGCACGTTACTCGTACTTAGGTGTGTGTCAGATACAGGTATTAAGATGTGTTGGAATTTGGAAAAGGGTAGGGATGTGTGTCCGAAATGGGTATGTTCAACTCTTTCCAAAATTTCCCACACACGGATTCTGAACAAAGGATACTTTAAGAAAAAAGAAGGATTGGAATAACAAGCATAACCATAATAATAAACTAGAAACCTGAAAAAGCAAGTAGATTGAACAACATAGTTTACCCAAAAACCTAAAGGAAGAAGATAGTGAATCGTGTGGCAACTTTCATCATATAGAAAACAAAGGAACTAATAGATAAAAATATATATATAAAAATCAGGACAGAGTGGACATTAAATTTTTTTATTAAAAAAGCTCTCATATAATAATAAAATAAACTTTTAGATTTGGTAACTCATTAACAACCACCCTCCCCTTACAAAAAAGAAGAAGAATAAGAAGAAAATAATACGAAGACAAAAAAGAAAAGAAAAAAATATGTAAAAAAAAATAAAGGAAGGAGTCAAAGAGGGCATCAAAAGGGACATAAATCACACATGTTAATAATAGAATCTTTATATGCTACGAAAATCCTGGCTAAAGGTTAAAAGAAGAGGCTTAATCTCAAGAAGAAGCTTACCTGTGGTCAGAATCTCTTGAATTAGTCACCTGAAATGTCAAATTTTTACAATAAATCACTATACATCAACTCAAGAGGAAGAGAAACAGCAAACATATTATAACTGAAAACACATATCGTCGTATGTTTTTTTTGTGTTTGTTAGCATGAGAATGTGAAAATGAAGCTCCACGTGATGGAAAATAGAATTGTAAACAAAGAATAAACTGAACGAGAAAGAAAGTGGATATAAGCAGACACCTCATCCCGAGATCTTGAATTTAAAGCAGGTGAGCGAGATCTATGCCTGCTCCTGTGGCGGCGATCAGATGGAGAAACCGACCGCTCATGTCTTGCTCTCCAGACTTGTTATCCATATCATCTCGTCCCAACTGTCTATCATTCCTGTCACTCCCCATTTCTCTCTCCGAGCCCCTTTCCCTCTCAGAGGTTCTTTCCTTCACTGAAGCTCTATCCTTATAAGTACTCTTCTCACTACCCCTACTATGATTTCTCTCATAGTCCCTCTCTTTCACTTTCTCAACATCCTTTTCATCATGTGCTCTTCTCAAACTCTTTTTCCTGGGGGAAGGAGTGCGTGAACTCGGATGTTTTGGAGACTTCGTATGGCCAGAATGTTTCTCTCTTTCCAAAGAATGATCCCCGTAAGACCTCCTGTGCCGAGAAGGAGACTTTTCTCTAATAGGAGAGTTTCCTTTATGTGAACTTTTATGTCTTCCAGGTGATCTCTCTTTATAAGATAGACTCCTCCGATGAGGAGACACTCGCCTCCTAACAGGAGACTCAGACTGGTTGGACGAATTGCGTCCCATTCTGTTTCCAGTGAAAGTCTGCCAACAGGTTTAGGCTGAATGTGTAACATAGATTCAGCAATTGAGAATAAATTATAAGTATTGATGCTATATAAGATTAATATTTTTTTTTTGGGGGGGGGGATAGAACTTTATATGGTTTCTCGTGTCCTTTTCATCAACAAAGTCAACAACTCCAAAAAGAACAACAGAAACAATGGCTTAGCTTGAGTTAAGATCAAAGAGTAGCATTACCCAAAAAGTGTAAACCAATTTGAACAAAGTTTCAACCATTGCAATACAACATGACAAAATTAAAATACTACAACAACATTATAACATAAGCCTAAGACAATAATTTAAGCGTCAGCTAACCTGGATAAGTAGGCATAAAAATGATTCTAAGATTAAAATTAAAAAGATAAATAACTCGGTTACAGAGCATGGGAAATTAATAAAAGTTGCAACAAGCAAAACAATAAACATAACAGTCTAAATTAGAGCACTGAAGCACCACCAATCACCATATATTAAATGACCAAAAATAGGCAAAATAAATAATACCCATAACGGGAAGTGTCAAAATATTTATAAAAACAATAATTTATTCGAAAATAATAGCAATGAGAACATATTTTACAACCAAAATGGGAAAAAAAAGAGAAAAGAATGCTTCGACCCTTAGCTTCATGTGAGAAACAAAGAGAAGATAAAGATTAAGTTTTAAAGGAAAATGAAAAGCAATAACTTGCTCACCAGGAAAAAGAAAAAACTGTTTGATGCTAAATCGTAGTAAGGTTTCAGAAATTGAAGAAGAACAAAGGGAACAGAAGTGCAGATTCTGATTTGATAAGGGTTTAGGGG